TGTGAAACCTTTCCGTTTTGATCTCAGCTGAACCCATCTTGTGCTTGAGTCCCACACCCTTACCTAAAATGGATGCCAAACCAGTTTCTTTCCAAGCGTCCTTCCTTCCTTTGCGTGTGTCGTGGGCTGCCTTTTGTCTGTCCTGTGAAACTTTTGTGTTCTGCGGAATCTGAGAAAATATGAAATGATTATAATGTAATTGTCCTTTTAAAACACTTTTTTATTTATTTTTATTTTTTTAACCTTTATTTAACCAGGAAGTCCCATTGAGATTCAGAATCTCTTTTACAAGAGAGACCTGGCCAAGGTAGCAGCCAAATCACAACAAATGTATACATAATAAACACTTTTGAAAACCAATTAATATATTTTAAGTTCTTAAGATGCATTTATTGCCATTTCACCATCACCTTTGCATGTAGATCTGCCAACTTCTGCAGTCTTGGACTCCATGTGTCTCCTCATTGACAAAAACAGATTTATTATTGTTATTCTTTGTTGAATACTGTTTCCATTAGAAATTGTTACACAATAATACCAGTGTTGATGCTTGACACAATTTCCTTATATGGACATCCCAGTCTTTTGTGTTCCTCCCCACAGTATTTAGCAAGTGCAGTCTTTGTTTCTATTTGTCTGCTCATCCTGTCCATTGGCTTCAGGATGGTAGGCTGATGTAATGCAGTGTTTGACACCCAGAACCTCAAAAACACCACGGTTGACCTGCAAACATATTAGAAGATATATTAGAGTATGATTAATTACAAATATTAAATGTCTCACATACACTCTTTTTAAATCCATAACTGTACCTCATTTACAAATTCACTTTCTTGGACTGTAATCATCCTCTCTACAAGTCCAAAATCAAGAAGAATACTGAAAGTTTTCCTGGACACCTCAGGGGCAGTTTTGGTGAAGAGGGATTTTGCCATAACCCACTTGGATGAAAAGATGTACTGATCTTTAACACACAGCCTAACTAGCTAACGTTACCATTAAGTGAACGAGGTTTACTATTCAGAATGAACACCAGTACCAAGGCCAGGGGGGGAAGCCAGGGAAGAAAAGACAGCGTAGGCTACTCCTATAATTCACTGATTTATACAATATACAATATATTTAACAAAGATTGTTGCTTTGGAAATATAGAATAAAAGCAAGTACTAAAACTACAACTGTACACTATGTCACAATGTCTATTTAGAATAACAGTCCCCTTTCATACTACTACTATAGTTTATTAAGTGCTTATAAGTGGAGAATGTTCCTAATATGAAAATTGATAAGCTGTAACGATGTGTCGGCAATGAAATTTCACGGTGACAAATTTTTATAGTCGATGCAATCGATTACATCGATGCAGCCCTAACACACACAATAAAATGCAGTGGTAGGAAGGGGACCAATTAAATCTATCCCAAGGACACTCCATGTTTCTTGGACTTGGATGGGATGAAGAATAGGTGCAGTTTTGACCGTTTCATTCCTCTGACAGTGCGGACACTCGTCAACCTTTACAACAGGGTATTAAAGTAATTTCTTTGTTTCATTTCCTAAAAAGAATTAGAATCAGAAACAATGAGAGCAGGCAGCTACTTTTTCTCTGCGAAATACTGACTTCCAGCTTTCAGTGTCCTGAAATAATTGAGAAATACTTCTTCTCCTAAAATATTTGCGCATGTCTTCACAGTGCCATCACAAGTCCTACTGGCAGCTCTTAACCACTTGAGAGACATGGAGCTGTCTTAAATAACAGGGAGAGTTAGAGTGATTCTTAGCTTTAAGACATTTGACAACTTGCCTTTATTCTTAAGTTTAATAAATTTCATGAATTCTCAACACTTAAGAGAAGCTTGATAAATACCAGCCCTGATATCCTCATTCCCAACTTCTATCTCCAGAGACAACATAACATTTGGATTGATATTGCAAAACAAGGGTGACGAGCTCTATAGTAATATAACTGTATGTCTAGCTAAATTTTTCATTCACAAATGTAGAATTATGAAATCATCTCCCAAATGTGTTGTTTTTTTTAAATGAATTTGAAATCCTTAAAACAGAGGTCACTAATAGGCGGACCGCCTACTACAGCCCATTTATTATTGAGACTTACTACCTCGTGACGGAGCGTTTCTATTTTAACCCGCGCAGCTTTTCTAGCATTTACTGTACTGGTTTAGAGGACCAGGAAACTCACAGACCAATCGCATGTGCTCCAATCGTCTCATGTGATGCTGCTCAGCCAATCAAATCTGTGCATACCGATGCTTGCGAGTCCGCGAGAGTAACCAGAGACGTTTTGGAAACACACCCGAATTGAGGGGACGAAAGATAAGAGATTTCACATTCCTCCCACGGGCAGTTCAAAACCAGAATATCTCATAGATCTCCAATATCCTAGCTGGAACTCACGTTTCTCACTGAACAAGGGAAAGTGGTAGCTCTGTAAGAGGAAATGAAAGAGAAGAGGAGGCATTACAGCTGTTCATTTGTTATGATGTGTTGAGTGTTTATTATAAAATTGGTTAAGACTACACTTCATCACTTCAAGCTACACTTTTTATTACATTTTTTCAAAAAATTAGGCACTTTAATTTTGTTTAATTAAATTTAGAATTTATTATTTGAATAGTTATTATTTATTATCCTTCCAGTTTGGTGAATCAAATATTATTTGATTTGACAGTCCGTTGTTGACTAAAAACATGTGTTGATACAACTATAGGTTATAGTACTGAATGATAACGCAAGTTTGTCGTTTTGATGTCTTTGAAATCTAATTGAATACCCCTGCCTTAAAAACTCCAAAAAAAAAAATAAATGATATCCTGATATGATATATGACACTCCCCAACTGAGGTAAACAGCTGAACAAAGACTAAACTCTCCCCTTAAGTTGTAATTTCCTACTGTTTATTAATTTGAATTAATTTATATGAATGTTTGTTTCTTTCCTTTTTTTATAAATCATGCTTATTTTTGTCACTAAGACTACACATTTATTTCCTAAGTTTGTAGAAAAAGCTGCTCCTTCTGGCTATATTTGATCTGTATCCTTATTCTGAAGAAACAGATTTTATGCAGCCATGTTTGTCTGTAAATTTAGCAATTTTCAATCATGAAAAATAAGCCTACTTCCTGTCTTGCTGTCCTCACTGTTGCTAAACTACATTCATTGGTTGAGCAGCAGCGTGACTCGAGTTGCCTCCATACACATTGAACATTGAACAGCTGCAGAGACAGACACGCCTCTTCTTCTCCGATGGATACAGTTGTGTTTCTGCTGCTCCTTCTGTCTGTAGCAGCCTCTGGTAAAGACGAGCTTTTATTGATTCATGGAGGCAGGAAAGTGATTTAAAATAATGTCATTCTGTGCATGGATCATATCCTCAATGTTGAGTTTTCTGTGTTTCCACTAATCGCAAAAGCGACACTACGGTGACGAGCTGAGTTTGCTTCTCTGTGTTTGTCTCGCGGTGGCGGAGAGAAAAAATCACTTGAATTACTCTAACGTTACCGCTGCTTCCAGCTCTGAAACGTGTTTATGAACATAAAGTTTTCATAGTGCAGTAAAATGTTTGTCATTGTTTAACTATCTGATGTTTCTGGATTAATATTTTGCTGCATTAATGTGAATGTTGTATTTTACTGCTGGAGGTGTTTTAATAACTTTAGCAGAATCAGCTTTATTGTCAGGTATGTGTACACACAGGTTTAATCTACAGCAATGCATCATAGATAAGATCATCATGTTTACACTATTTGAGATTTATGTGTCCATGAGCAAGACACTTAACCCCTAGATGCTCTAGAGGCGTGCGACCTAAATGAATAAATGTAAATTGTTTTAGTAGTCTGGAGCTTTGTCTTTTATTAACCACAGTTCACTGTGTGCCTGTTGAGCTCAGTCAGTAGTGCACAGGACTCCCGTTCGAAGGGTTGTGTGTTCAGTCCCTACTTCCTGCTAATGTTATTTTTCTCACTTTTCAACAAATTGATTATGAAGATCATTTTACATGTGCGTTTTAGTGTGTACCTCCCCGGCGATTGGTCAACATCAACCTATGGACGCTTATGTTCGTGTCCCCTGTATCTCCAGGCAGAGGGAATTCCTGCTTTTTCTCATTCAGGGGAATCTGATCTCACGTTTTCTGACGGCTTTTTCAGAGTTGTGTCATGCAAGCCAGAGAGTCTTTTGAATTTCCTTCACAACTTTTCAAAGTAAACGCTTTCAGTTATACACGACATAAATTAGTGCTACAAAGACATTCGCACACATTTATTTGTAGGCACAATCACTTAAGAAGAAGTGATTATGACATCTGTTTCAGCACCAGAGGCTATAATGTATTTTTATTTTTGCTGCTATCAAAGCAGTCTGGCCATGCACAAGATATTATTGCTGGCGGGCCAGCTTTTTCCCACGGGCGGCCTATTGCCAACCACTGGTGCATAGCAATATTTTTTTAAAGGCCGTATAACCCAGCCCTAGTGTATAAGATAAAAGTTTTACTTTGAAAATCTCTTTATTTACAGTTAATTTCAGGTTTTAATAAAGAGTGGATTTAGGAAGGTGTGTGAGTAATGTATGAAATGTTTTTAATGAAATAGCAAAGGTACCTTATTTGTGGATCGAGTCTCTGCAGTGGACAGAAGTAGATTTAGCCACTCAGGATGCCAATATTTGCTCCTTCTAGCCACCTCCTCTTGGGAGCAACAAATTCCCCTTGTTCTACGTTTATAATAATAATGTTGCAAACCGATGCAAAACGTTTTGAGATTGAACGCGCCCCTGGAATAGTTTAGCCGGTTGGGGGTCCAGGGCAATAAAATCCTGTAACGTCTCCACAGCTGTGACTAATTATTGAATGTTCCCATGATCTCAGGTGTGAAGAGGCCTTCTGTTTAAACAAAGATGTTCTCACTGTATCGTCCTGTGGAGTCCTTTTGAAATGTAATTACTTTTTCTCTCTGAATGTTTTTATTGTTTTTAGATGTGGTACAAGTGAAACCTGGAGATGACGTCATTCTGCCATGTCAGGCTGGTGAAGCCTCCATCAGAGTTGTAGAGTGGACCAGACCTGACCTGGAGCCAGAGTACGTCCTCCTTTACAGAGATGGACGCTCAGATCCAACCCACCAGCATCCATCCTTTAAGGACCGGGTGCAGCTGGTGGACAGAGAGCTGAAGGACGGAGACGTGTCTTTAATTCTGAAGAACGTGAGCAGCAACGACGCTGGAACATACGAGTGTCGAGTTGCAGCAGGAGGTTCAAGACGTAAGAGAACCAACCTTGACACTCAACCAGTCAGAATCATCCAGCTGGAGGTTTCAGGTGAGTTTGTGGAGGTCAGTGTGTCTGTGTGCCATGTTGTAGCTGCACTTTATTCCATGTTGATTCTGAGAGTCAAACATGAGGAATATAGAAGATATAGAAGAGTAAATGGAGGCTGTTCCACTGTTCACTCATTTCCTGACTAATATGCACTTTGATCTTCAGGGTCCAACAGCGGAGACGTCGAGGAGGGAAACTACAGACATTACTACGGACTGGGAGCACCTTTTGTTCTGGTTTGTTTAGCTGCTGTTGGATTGGTTGTTGGCTGGAAATATGAAAGAGATAAGAACAAGAAACCAGAACAGCCTGCTGCTGAAGAAGCAGTGAACGACTAGTTACTCTGACTTGTCACAGACTCTTTCCACTTGTCAATATGTGGTTCATACATTCAACATGATTTTCAGTCTTTCTGTTGTTGTGAATGTGTAAATCTGGCGTTTGAGGCTCTCCACCGTGATAATCTGCTTCATCAGTGCAGACAGACGGTGGGGCGGGGTTTGCGTGCTCGTTGACTTTGGAAGTTGTCTGGTCAGGTCTCCATGACAAATTGGTCCCAGGAACAAAAGTCTGATTTCTGTTGCTTCGCCAACATGGGTCCCATTTTTAAGACCTGCGTTGGGACCTGTTCCGGTTGATCTGGCTGGTGGATTATGGTACCAAGTGTTTCAGCAATAAAGCCGGGGAAAAACTGACAAGTATAGTGAAGGGCAATATGCAATATGTATAAAAGAGGAGGAAGTTACCTGACGGCTTTAAAAAATGAAGTGAATAAAAATGTTACAGTAAGGAGAGTAAATGTAGCTGGTTGCTTGCAGCCTCAGCACTGATGTATCACAGGGAGCTTCATGAACAGATTAACCAGCTTTAAACAGAAAAACGGTCTGTGATGTCAGAAATGTCAGCAGACAGAGCGCAAACCAAACCTGTTGAAACCAGGTGGAGAGAGGTTTATTTATACATATATTATATGATGAATATTGAGTATTCTAATGTTTTCTTTTAGAATTTGATGTTTTAAAACCTGTGATGTCTGTATATATTTGTTATAAGCTAATGATATCAGAAGGACGTGGCCTTGTGTGATTTAACCAGAGGAGTTTATTAAACTCTGATTAGATCAGACCTGTGGTCAGAGCATCTGATGAAACTCTGTCAAACTGAGAATAATTGACAGAGTAGAATTACACGATCGGTACAAAAGAACATGTGGTTATGCAATAATATGAATTAAACAAAAAGCAATAACTTGCACTCTGCACAAATGTACTTAAAGTGATTCTTTTAACTATATTTTGGGATAAAATAAATATTTTTCATGTTGTTACATTTAGAAACTTGATTTGTGTTCTTTATTGTTTTGGTCCATAACAGAGAGATTCAGATGGAGTATTAAATATAAGACACAGTAAACTCATGGACCTGTGATTGTAAAGTCAGTCTGACCCAGTAGGTTAGCCTATTAAATTATTTTGATAGATATTGAGCTTCTTTATTGATTATAAATATAAAAGTGGTGCCTCCAACAGGAGATGTTTCAGCTACACATACCATCAAAAAGACAAAAAAAACACAAGCCAGACGGCTTCCTTTTTTGGAAGGCAAATGAGTAGGAGCATCATGAAAAGGCAACCGGATAGTTGTTCACAGCTTCCAAGTAGACATTGGTTCTCTTAAAAAATATATAATTTATTTATAAAATAATTATAAATAAAGTGCAATACAGTAACAATACTTTATACAATAATACTGGTCGTTGCACATTCCTATATGCCATGCAACACTAGTTCTGTCACAACATCACAATACACCAAGTACTGAATGGGCCAGTACAATACAAACTCAAACAAGAGCATATTGACAACATTTCATGATATTTATACTATAATTGTTATTGTGAGGGAAAACGGCGCCTCAGCCACTTTGTAAGTGAGGACTTAAACCTAGCCATAGAGTCAATCATCTTAATGCTCATACGTAGTTTTCATTCACGTGACATTCGCTGTACCTGGAGCAAAACAACAGACCAACACAACGGTTCTTGCCGCAACTCCCCTTAGAAACGCCGCAAAAGCAGTTACATTTGGATCAGCTCTCAACTTAAGAAAAAGAAAGATATGAACAGGGGGCATCCTTACCAAACTAAGTGTTGGGCACTTCCAATCCATGTTACAGCACCCACTGCCGCATATCTATCGTTAAAAAGCGATAAATCCACGCTGTCCGGAGAGAAGTCTCTGTCCATACATGATGACAGAGTGATCATAAAAGCGGTCATGTTCAAGATCATGTTTCTGATGTTTCATATATGATTATTATTACTGACACATGCACATGAGCAGTGTGGTAAAGTGTTTTTTAAATCTTTTTGGTGGCTATAACTTTCCAATTCTCTCAGTGTGTGTGCGATTGATCCACATCCATCAACCTATGGACATAGCTCTCAATTCAACGTGAAATAGAGTATTGTGCAAAAAACTTTCTCATACTTTTATTTCACTGAAGAAGAAGTGATTATGTGAGTAACTGTTGCTGTCATGACTGAGATCTATTTCAGCACAGCTATTAATTAGCTAAAAATGTATTTATTTGTTTTGTTTGTTTGGCCCGCCGGCCGCCAATTGTTGACCACTGCTGTAGGTGAAACCAATGTGAGATGCACACAAGAAAACTTACTTGCAATCCATCCATCTTCCAACCATCTTCAACCACGTATGTGGGGTCGGGTCGCTGGGGCAGCAGCTCCAGCAGGGGACCACAAACCTCCCTTTCCCGAACCATATTAACCAGCTTTGACAGGGATTCCACCGAGGCGTTCCCAGACATAATATCTCCACCTAGTCCTGGGTCTTCCCCGAGGCCTCCTAAGAGCTGGATCACCTCCCTATGGGACACGCCCAGCGGGCATCCTTACCATGCCTGAACTACAGTCCCCTCAAAGTATTGGAACAGTAAGGCAAATGTCTTTGTTTTTGTTGTTCACTGAAGACATTTGGGTTTAAGATCAAAGATGAGTATGAGACAAGAGTTCAGAATTTCAGCTGTTATTTCCTGGTATTCACATCTAGATGTGTTAAAGAACTCAGGACATCCCACCCTTTGTATTAGACCACAGCACTCTTAGGTGAGCAAAAGTAACAGAACAAATAATCTTAACGTAAATAACATTTAATATTTGGTGGCATAACCCTTTCTTGCAATAACTGCCTCAATCCTGCGACCCATCGACATCAAACTGTTGCATTCTTCATTTGTGATGCTATTCTATTCTTTTACTGCAGCTTCTTTCAGTTCTTGTTTGTTTCAGGGTGTTTCTCCCTTCAGTCTCCTCTTAAGGAGGTGAAATGCATGCTTTATTGGGTTAAGGTCAGCTGATTGACTTGGCCAGTCTAAAACCTTCCACTTTTTCCCCTGATGAAGTCCTTTGTTTTGTTGGCAGTGTGCTTTGGCTCATTGTCCTGCTGCATGATAAACTTCCTCGCAATTAGTTTAATTTCTCTGTAAATTGGCGGACAAAATGTTTCTGTACACTTCTGAATTCATTCAGATCATAAGCAGTTCCTTTCTTTCTTTCTCCACACTTTGGCCTTTCCATCACTTTGGTACAGATTAATCTTGGTCTCATCAGTCCATAAGATTGTGTTACAGAACTTTGTGGCTCATCTCTGTTCTTCTTTGCAAGTTTCAATCTGGCCTTCCGATTCTTCCTGCTGATGAGTGGTTTGCATCTTGTGGCCTCTATATTTCTGCTCTCTGAGTCTTCTTCCAACAGTGGATTGTGATACCTTCACCCTGCACTGTGGAGGTCGTTGCTGATGTCACTTACTGATGTTTTGGGGGTTTTCTTCACAGCTATCATGATATTTCTGTCATCAACTACTGTTGAACGACCTGTTCAACCTCTATCTGCTCAGTGCACCAGTAGTTTCTTTCTTTTTCAGGACATTACAAATTGTTGTGCTTGCTCTGCCCAATGTTTGTCCAACTTTGATGGCGCAGCCAGATAGCTGCCAGATGAGATAGCTGGCAGCTATCTGAGATTACAAACATCGGACGACTTCGTAAGAGAGGGCCCACACGTAACCATGGACTCCTTTGTGTAAACAAAGACCGATGTGCAAGTGTGATAAGCTAGGTTTGCGAAAGGGGTACACGAACGACTCCTGCCTTCCTGAGCTAAAACAATGTTTCACTATAAACTCTTTTGTTCTGTTTAAATAATAATCCTTGATAGGTTAGTAGTTATGTTAATGTGTAGTTGTTGTTATATGTTGATGAAAAGAATCTAAATAAGTTAATTTTGCAGTGTTTTAATTTTCAGCAAGGTAAATGACATTCCTTCATTTTATGTGTACCCAATGCTTGTTCCCAACACTCTGACAATTCCTTTAGAAAGGATATGATAAAGAAATGTCATCCTATACTCGATTAATTTTCCAGCTTGAATTTAATGTTAACTAACCAAATGCCACAGCTCCGGAGCAAAGGCTTGTTTAAAGAATAATCAGTTGAATTATCTACTCCTCATGTAACCCGAGCTCCCCCAAGTGGACAAAATAAGTATTGCGTGACATCATTCTGAAACGCTGACCTCAAAGTTTTAACTAACATTGTTTTTCCCTTTTATCAAGTGAAACTCAAACCGGTCCAACCGTTTGACAATTAAGGTTTGATTGTAAGCACGCAAATAGACTTTTGATTAGACATTAAAGTTAAAGAAAAAACGGTCTCTCAGAAAACCGGAAACAAGCCCTCCCTCGGGGAACAAAGGACTGCCCTCTGGGAACCACGCCCCAACCATAGACTGTATATAAAAAGGCCCCAACAGACAGTAAGGAACGCTAAAAGGCTCATAATACGCCACCTTCCTACCTCGTTTTGTTAAAAAAAAAAAAGCGTAGCCAGGACGCCGCTTTTTACGGCGCCAAAAAGCTAAACGCCGTAAAAAGCGCCTGGGAATTGTGTAAACAACGACGCATTTTTCGTCGGTCTTGAGGCGGCGAAAAAAAACGTCGCTCTGTGTGCTCATGTAACGCCGCTTTTTACGGGGCTCAGTGTCCCCAATGACGCGCATCATAACGCATTACAAGACACCTAGTGTTAAAGGATAATGAGCTCCACCCTGTCTTCAGTTTGAACTGTTATCACCTAATCAGTAAATAACAAGAACAGACCACATTAATCCAACCCAGCACAAGGATGAGCTTCCCTACCTTAGCTCATAAATACCGTCAGAACTCACACAGACACTTTAGCTCACTGCTAATGACGCCACCTTACAAGTAGAGTTTCTGTGGGTTACAGCCACAGAAACTCTACTTGTAAGGTTTGCGCCCCGTTTGTATCTTGTTTAATGGGGGAGGTTTTTCTGTTTTCTGTTACAATGGCAATCGGTAAACTGAAGTAAGCACACAAACCTTACTGTGTTGTCCTCTATTTTATTAACCTACTAGAACCAATCCAATATTAATGTACCGACTGTGCTTACTATAAGGTGCAACGTCTGCAGGCTTGAGAAAGGAGGATGGTTGGTGTGTGCAACTGACTGTTCAGCAAATGCACAACAAATACAAGCTTTGAATCTGTGGCAGCACAGCAAAATGGGCATGGGTTTTCTCTAGTTTTTTAGTACGAGAGTCTCTAGTCTTTTTGCAGGTAATCCATTTAAAATCAGCCAACTTGTTCTGATTACTATGGCAACCGGCAGCGCTTGTAGAAGCAGTAGCGGGTAAGCTCCTTCAAACTTCGCTACACTTTTCCCCCAGCTTAATTGCCAATGCGTTACCTCTGACATAAATAAAGTCACTGGAAGAGGAAGACGGGGTTTTTGGATTAAGGACCGGCAGACCACGATCCACCCGGCCCAAACAACCGGACTAGGCACCACGCGGGTGCAGTGATTGCTCAGAGGAGAGGACAGAGAGCCAGGAGAGGAGCCATGCTGGCCCAGCTCTAAAGACCTAACTGTGTTCCAACATGTGCTTTGATATCGACAGTATGAATGAGGAAATGTCACTTTCGTCACACTGCTTCCAGCTCCGCAGGAGAGGAGTCGGAGAGAAACTCAGCGTTAGTTGAAGTAAACCTCCTCCAGAGCAGGTTAGGTTCACATCATAAGCTGCCGGGGTTACAGACCTAGAGTTAATCTGATCTCGCTCTCTGAAACTGAAAACCCACAGTTTCCCTCATCTCGGGCTCAATTTACTCTGAGTTTTCACTAAACCTGCTTTCTGAAACAGGGCCCTGCAGATTCAAAGCTTGTATTTGTCAGTTGCACACACCAACCATCCTCCTTTCTCAAGCCAGCAGACGTTGCACCTTATAGTAAGCACA